GAAAGAGACACGTGCACCCCAATGTTCATCGCAGCACTGTTTATAATAGCCAGGACATGGAAGCAACCTAGATGCCCATCAGCAGACGAATGGATGAGGAAGCTGAGGAGCGTTCTCTTCTACTAGCGCCACCTGGGAAGCCCCCAAACGCGTAAATCAACTATTAGCCGTATGAAGTGGGTGTATTCAGTTCAGTTCAGTCCCTCAGTCGTGTCCGACTCTTTGCAACCCCATAGACTGCAGAACGCCAGGCCTCCCTGTCCATCACCAACTCCCCGGAGTTTACTCAAGCTCATGTCCAGTGGCTGTATTATTATCCCATTTTACAGATAGGCAAGCCATGGCACACAGAAGGTCAACGAACTCATCCCCACAGGTCACATAATAAAGATTCGGAAAAATATAAGTCACTGTCCAATGGCATGCGGTAGATGGATAGAGAAGTGGCCCAGGGGCTGAGAGGGACACGTCATGCTCACTCTGCCAAATGATGACAGGGTCCACCTTGGTGGAGAAGAGCACCCCTTCCTATCTTCCTAGGCTCCTGCCCGGCACTTGCAAAGTAACATCAAAACAAGGTGTTAAAACATTACAGCAGATGTAAACGTTTATGTTGAACAATTGAGCATTTCAAATAAAGATAGTAACAGTGACTGATGCCCGGAACTCTCCATGGAGGTGGCTGTTCCACCCCAGGGACATGGAGAGGGCTTGGGGGGTGGGGACAGGGGGAGACAAGACAGAGGGCAGGGGACACTTAGAGAGGTGCTTGTTGGGGAGGAGGCTGAGAAACACGCAGATTCTCTCCCAGTGGGAGTGTTGGCATCAGTGCCGTTATCATGGACTGCGTTTGTGTGATGTGTCTCATTAACCAAGGGATTCCCTGGTGGCTCAGTGGTAAAGAGTCTGTCTGCCAAGCAGGAGCCTCGAGAGAAGCAGGTTTGATTCCTGGGTTGGGAAGATCCTCTGGAGAAGGAAACGGCAGCCCACTCTGGTATTCCTGCCTGGAGAATCCCATGGACAAAGAAGCCTGGTGGGCTACCGTCTATGGAATCGCAAAGAATTGGACACGACTGAAATGACTTAGTAGCACATACACACACGTCTCATTAACAGCAATGTCAGCCTTCTGTGCTAGTTGTCACATCTTCAGGAGACTTTCTGGGTCCCCTGCAGGGCCTTCCACTGGGTGGGAAGGCAGAGTCACACAGAACTTTTTATTTTCTTAAAAGGTAGTAGTAGTCACATTCATATATTTTAAATATACCCTCTTCACACAAAATAATACACATACTCACTGTAGAAAAATCCAGGCCCGCAAATAGACAGCAATAACGAATTGTAAATGACACCCACAGAGATGACTCTCATAGTATTTGGAATCTAACTTATTATCCGCCCCCATCTTCCCTGATAGACCTTTGAATCTGGATGTTCCATTATAATAGGACCTCAAATTTAGACTCTTTCATTATCACCAAGTGAAATTATGGATACAAAGATAAATGAACAGGATTGACTATTTCTCATAGTGATATCTTTGTGATACACAAAGTTCAGTAACTTCGATTTTGTGTAGTTAAAAGATATATACAAACATATTTTAAGCATACTCTCTATATATCCTTAAAAAATATATATATATATATATATCCCAAAACCCTAAGAAATGGATGTGACTTACGCAACTTGGACTTCTTGTGACCTCTGAGGGCTTCTGTTCATAGTTCGGTGGCTGTCTGTTGTGCTGTATATACTCACACATGTTTAGCCCATTGCCTCCTGGCAAGATGTCCCTCTTCTATGCAGAAGCAGATTTTAGACTCACTTCAGAGGGTGCCCCTGTTTAATTCCTCCAAAGGGTGCTTGGAAATCCCCCAAGAGCTACGTCCGTTTCTGGTCTGTCTTTACAACCCGTGCCCCCTGCGCCAGCATTCTTCCCCTCCTTTTCTGGGTCTTCTCATTGTCATCACATGTTGAGAGTGCAAATATATTCCCTGCTGAGGATGCGGTTCCTGGACACTCACAGTTACTGCTCCTGGAGACCCCAGGATGGCATTGGATGTTGGGTCCTGGGCAGAGGTGGGCTCTCCCCAGCTCAGGTCTCACACCGTCACTCCCCTTCTGCTCATTAAGCCTGCAGGCTCGCAGAGACCCTTGGACAGTTTAACTGGATCCTTTATGGCAGTGGTCCTCAACCCCTGAGCCTGTTAGGAAACAGGCTGCACAGCAGGAGGTGAGCAGCGGGGTAGTGAGTGAATCTTCATCTGTATTTACAGCCGTTCCCCATCACTCACATGACTGCCTGAGCTCTGCCCCCTGTCAGATCAGTGACTGCATAATAAATGTAACTTGCTTGAATCATCCCATAACCAGCCCCCTCACCACATCTGTGGAAAAAATTGTCTTCTATGAAACCAGTCCCTGGTGCCAAAAAGGTTAGGGACCACTGCTTTATGGAGTCAAAACTTCTCTCTGCTCTTAGTTAAAAATTATTTGGATGGAGACAAATAGATACTGGTCGTGAGGAAAGAGGGGTGTCTAGACCAGCAGCATCTAGTTCAAGATGCTGTTCTAATAGCTAAACATGTGTTGTTTCTTGAAATAACAAAATGGAATCATACTATCCAGATCACTTAATAACTTGCTTGCATTTTTATGCAGTAATTTTTAGAAATTGCAAAGTTATGTAGTAATCTAAAAGTTGCTCAGTATTAAGTCATGAATAGTTCCAGCAAGTATTACTGGAAGATGTTCTCTTAAAAATTCATATAATGTAGAACTTAGAAGCACAGAAAGTAAAAGAGAATTCTTCACTGCTCCCATTCCTGTGTTGTTGCCGTTTAGTTGCTCAGTCATGTCTGACTCTTTGTGATCCTATGGACTGTAGCCTGCCAGGCTCCGCTGTCCATGGGATTTCCTAGGTAAGAATACTGGAGTGGGTTGCCGTTTTCTTCTCCGGGGGATCTCCCAACCCAGAGACCAGACCCACATCTCCTGTTTGGCAGATGGATTCTTTACCACTGAGCCACCTGGGAAGCGCATCCCATTCCTCTGGGTAACCATTGTTGGTAGTTTTCTGTACATCCTGCCAGATCTTTTCTGAAATCAATTTATCTATCTATATTCAACATTGTTATCATCTTTATCTTTATATATAATGGTATGTATATAATGGTAAGGCTTCCTTGGTAGCTCAGCTGGTAGGGAATCCACCTGCCATATAGGGGGCCCTGGTTCAATTCCTGGGTCATGAAGATCCGCTGGAGAAGGGACAGGCTCCCCACTCCAGTATTCTTGGGTTTCCCTGGTGGCTCAGCTGGTAAAGAATCGGCCTGCAATTCAGGAGACCTGGGTCTGATCCCTAGGTTGGGAAGATCCCCTGGAGCAATGATAACATATATTGTATAGAGAGAGCTCCCAAAATCATAAATAAGGTCATACTATATATAGTATTTTGTGACTTATCCTCCATCAAAGATACATTGGAGAATTTTTCATGTCCATACCTATAGATCTATGTAACTTCGGAGTTGTACCGTATTTTATTTACCTATCCCCTAATGAATGGACATTTATCCTGCCACAGTGTTTTATTTTACACACAATGACACAATGTGTCCTTTTGTACACTTTGTACACTTTCTTTATTAGAACTGGAGATGTGGTGGGTGTGTGAATTTGTGGTTTGAACGGGTCCTGCCACACTGCTCTGCAGAAGGGCCCTGCCAGTCCACACCCAGCAACGGTGATGGGGTGCCTGTTTGCCAACATCCTCGCCAACACTGAGTATTATCATGAAAATTTTGACCAGTCCCCTAGATGAAAGGGGATTGGATGCACGTCCTCATCCTAATGTACATTTGTGTGATAATTAGAGGGGTCGAGCCTCTTTTTGGGTGCGTGTTGGTCACTTACATTTCTTCTGGGCTGTTTATAACGGTGTGATCATCCCGTGTAAGCTTCACCTCCTGGAGAATCTGCACAGGCCTCCCTTTGGTGTCCCTTAGGGGTGTCTCCAGTAACTGGGATATTTCTATGGGATTGTGTGTTGGTTTGCAAACCGCCCCCATATACAGAGGGCAGAGAGAGACCAGAGAAAGAGGCAGCCACTCTGATCAATAGGTGACAGTCTTGGGCGTGGCTGGGTGAGTTTACTGCCTGCTCACCAGCACGTAAGAGTTTATAGAGAGACCTTCCTGGGGTTTAGGCACCCACAGCACCTTGAGGTTCCCACCACAGCTGATCTATCCAGGTGCATCCTTGAAGTGGCTCCCAGGGTGGGCATCCCCCGGACAGGGCAGGGGCGAACAGCTCCTGATTGCCTGAGGACAGCACTCAGGTTGAGCAGTGGTCCCTCCTCTCGGTGACCTCCTTCAACAGACCATAATAGGGTATGGTCTTCAAGAGATTCTATGGCCTTCAACAGACTCTCCCGGGGCCACAGTCCAACTCTCAGCACCAAGGAGAGTGGTGATTCTCCGGGGCTGGCACAGTGAAACAATTGCATTTTATTTTTCTTCTTTCACTTTATGTGGCTGTAAAGATGATGACCTTCCTGGCCTGTTTGAAGAGGAAGAAGAGGAAGAAGAGACTGAGTTTCAAAAAGCGGAGTCGATAGATAGAGCATCAGGTATGGAACTGGGAGTGAGGGGAACTGGGGGGCATTCACCCCGAGGGAGGGGTCCGCTTGCCCAGACTAAAATCAGTCTCTGCTTTTTACTTATGTGCAGCTGATACTTAGTAAGAAGTTTTATACAAGGAGAAAGTGTTGGGTGTTAATAGGTTCATTATTAGTTACCCGGGGCTGCCGTAACTAAGGACCACAGACTGGATCGCTTACAACAACAGCACAGCCTTCTTTCCCAGTTCTGGGGGCTAAAAGTTCAAGATCAAGGTGTGGCAGGACTGTGCTTCCTTGACACAGGAGGACCCAGCCCCAAGTGCTAGTAGAGCCTGGATTGAAATCCTGCTCCAGACCATCATGTTACCAGCAGAGCCAGACAACCCATTTCCTCCCCGTTTCTCCCGTAACTCACCTTCCCTTACAATAGCAGAAGTTATAGGTTAGACGTGGCACTTTACCAAGATACTGAGTGTTTGAAAGTCAGAGGGGAAGGACTTCCCTGGTTGTCCAGGGGCTAAGACTCTGAGCTTCCAATGCAGGGGACCTGAGTTTGATCCCTGGTCGAGGAACTAGATCCCACACGCTGCAACTAAAGTGCCTGCATGACACTTAATGAAGATTGAGGATCCCGCCTGCCACAACTGAGGCCAGGTGCAGCCAAACAAATACATGCAAATAAATATTAAAAAAGAAAACATCTTGGACTTTCCTGGTGGTCCAGTGTTTAAGAATCTGCCTTGCAATGTAGGGAATATGGGTTTGATCCCTGGCCCAGGAAGATTCCACACGCTGTGGAACAACTAAGCCCATGTGCCACGACTACGAAGCCCACAGTCTGGAGTCCGTGCTCGTCAACAAGAGAAGCCGCCCCAGCGAGAAGTCTGCACACTAAAGAGTAGCCCCTTCTCACTGCAACTAGAGAAAGTGGTAGCAACAAAGGCCCACACAGTCAAAAGGAAAAACATCATTAAAAAAACCCCTCAAAAATTAAAAATAAAATCAGAGGAGAAAAAGGATTGGGGTGATGTGCAGTGTTTCCTATTGTCATCTTAATTTTTTCAGAACAATTTATTTTTAACCAAAACATAACCCCCTCTCTAGTGAAAATTAAGGGTGTTAGAGGAGAGGAATACAAGTTTAGAAATACAGGCCCTCCATTCTTACTAAGATTTGTGTAGGTTGGGTTTTGATAAGACAGACGGTGGCCGTGAGGGACACAGTCGTGTTTACTAATGGACTCCTGCTTTAGTACCAATAAATCTGTGATCAGGAAAGAATTGGGAGGGAAGAGGCTGCTTGGAGAGAAGGGTTAGGACAGTCTCCAACAGAGCAAATTAATATTCCTTCCAAGTGTATTTTTTTCTTTTCTTTTTATCGTGGTAAAACATATGCAACTTCAAGCAGCATTTTATCCACTTCAAAGCATATAGCTCTGTGTCATTGAGTGCACTTGGCAGTGTATTTTTTTTAATCTTTTTTTTTTCTTTTGGCTGCATTGCATGGCATGTAGAAGCTTAGTTCCCCGACCAGAGATTGAACCCTCACCCCCTGCAATGGAAGCATGGAGTCTTATCCACTGCCTGGATCACCGGGGAAGCCCCTCGACAGTGTATTTTTGTCTGTGGGTGGTTGCTTTTGCTCTGATAATGCTAGTTCTCCCAGCTGTAGACTGTTTCCTCTGCTAGCCAGCATGCTCAACTCTTAGCCAACCTATAATCTAATCCTCCCAAATCTCACCCCAATAGATATTATTGTCCCTTTTTATGGATGAGAAAACCCACTGCAGAGAGGGTTCAGACCACACATGTTGATTTGTTCCAAAGCCTGGACTTTGTCAAGTGTCTTTTGGAGGAAGAGCCAAACAGTTTGAGAAACCTTTCCCTTCTCTGTGGGCTTCATCAGAAACTCAGGGTTGTGACTGGTAGGCTGTGAGGTTTTCAGACCCCATCAATAACAGTAGACTTGGGAGACATACATTCATTCTATTTACTTTTCTTTCCATCCCCCACCAGTTTCAAGTTTTATAGTGAAAAAGGAGTAGATGCTAACATGTTACCTATAATCTCATCCCAAGGATAAAGCCCCCCCCCTTTAAGTAAAAATCTCAGAGAAGTCACTCATTGGACACTGTAGCTGAAACAAGCTCGTACACTCACACACACAGATTAAAATTCCAACTGAGGACCAATCAAAACCACAACACAGTTCTCCTAAGTAAGTGTGAGTCAAGGCTACAGTAGGATTCATTTGTAAAAAAGTACATCCACCTATTTTTTAAATATAATTTTATTTTTTTATTTAGTAGTAGGGGTTGCTCTCTAGTTGTGGTGATCAGGCTTCTCATTGCAGTGGCTTCTCTTGGGAAAACAGGCACTAGGGCGCATGAGCTTCAATAGCTGTGGCACTTTGGCTTAGTAACTGTGGCTCCTAGGCTCTGAGGCACAGGTTCAGTAGTTACGGGGCACAGGCTTGCTCCGTGGCTTGTGGGGTCTTCCTGGATCAGGTACCAAACCTGTGTCTCCTGCGTTGGCAGGCAGATTCTTTACTACTGAACCACCAGCGGAGCCCAACACCCAGCTTTTTGATAGCATGCCCAGAGTGAAATATACTAACATCCAAGATGCAGGTCTGGTCTAGGTGACCAGAAACCTCATTTTCCAAGTATTTCATCTTGTGCATTGCATCATGTTTTGCAGCTAAGAATTTGCAGCTGAGAATGTATTCTATACATCGTCCTCCCACCAGCCTTGAGGAGGAAGAGATGGACCTTGAGATTATAGAGAACCTCCCCGTAAAAGTATGTGTGGCTCTTTCTTCTCTTGGGTAGGGTAATGGGAATTTCATGTCCTCAGATGAGTCTGGGTAACTGACACAGCTCATACAAGAAATGTGTTCTATTGGACTTCCCTGATGGTCCAGGGGTTAAGACTCTGTGCTTCCAATGCAGGGATCTCAGGTTCGATCCCTGATTGGGGAACTAAGATCCCATGTGCCACACGGTGTGGCCAAAACAGAAAAAATGTTAAGGAACATATCGTGTTGGCATAGAGATGATGGAATCCTGTGTTGGGGTTCCCCAAGGTCCCCCCTCAGATTAAAGGATCTGCCACAACGACTCACAGGACCCAGAAAATATTTTGTACTCATCAGTTCAGTTCAGTTCAGTTTGTACTCATGGTTATAGTTTATTTCAGTGAAAGGATACAGATTAGAGTGAACAGAGAACAAGGCATACAGGGTAGAGTCCAGGAAAAAAAAAGAACAAGTTGTCCTTTCCAAATGGGGCTGCCAGGGCAGCATTCATTCTTCTTCTTTTTTAAAAAATATTTTACTTTATTTGGCTGTGACAGGTCTTAGCTGTGGCACATGGGATCTTTAGTTGTGGCATGTGAGATCTAGTTCCCTGAACAGGGATTGAACCTGGGCGCTCCTGAGATGGGTGTATAGAGTCATAGACACTGGACCACCGGGGAAGTTCCCAGTATTCATTCCTGCAGCAACCATGTGAGACAACATATAGGAGGTTGTGCCAATCAGAGGAGTTCACCCAAGCCTCGGTATCCAGGGTTTTTAGTGGGGATCAGTCATGTCTGCATGAAGTCTGCACAGTTATTCAGCAGCCCATTCCACTTTGCAGAGGTCAAACTGAGGCAGTATGACTCAGTTCCCCAGGCAAACAAAATCAGTTCACCATAAATCACGTTTTTAGCGTAAACTCCCCAGCATGACCCAAGGGCCCAGGTCTACAGAGATGCTCAGATCAGCCAGGATGTTCCAAAAGCTTAAAGGTCATCACCTGCGAACTGGTTCAGGGCTAGCCTTTTTGTTTTTTTAAAGATTAAAAAAAAATTTTTTTATGCCGACCATTTTTAAAGTCTATTGAATTTGTTACAGTATTGCTTCTGTTTTATGTTTTGGTTATCTGGCTGCAAGACATGTGGGATCTTAGCTCTCCAATCAGGGATCAAACCAACACCAACAACATTGGAAGGTGAAGTCTTAAGCACTGGACCACCAGGGAAGTCCCAGGGCTAGTCTTGAGTGCCTTTGGAATGTGTAGGGTTTGGACAGCCCAGGCCTGCTGGGTCAACACTTCACTGCACAAACCCAGGGAGAGTTCATAAAGTTAGGATGGAAGCATTTGGCCTGAGCTGTGCTAATTGAAATTATGCTCAATTGCCCCATGAATATGCCTCCCTGCAAAAAACCTGAATTCAAGACGGACTTGTTGCAATTTGTGGTCCAGAGAAGCTTGATTAGGACATTGCCCAATTCAGTTTATTCAAGTGCTGTAGTGGCCATTTGGTGGAAGAGTCGGGGTTAGAGTTCAGCCTCTGTGTGAATTTTATTTTATTTTTAAAGTAATTTTTAAATTTGGCTGCTCCAGGTCTTAGTTGCAGCATGTGGGCTTGAGTTTCCTGACCAGGGATTGAACCTGGGCCCCCTGCATTGGAGCATGGAGTCTTAGCCACTGGACCATCAGGAAAGTCCCCCTGGATGAATTTTAGCTCTTGTCTGTGGTCCACTGGGAAGTAAGTTGAGCCTGTGCATGGGGAGAGAGCTCAGGTGAACACAAATATTAGGTGATTTGGGTGCACGGATATATCTCAGTGTGACTTTTTTGGTCCCTATATTTCAGAAAACTGTTAAGCAAATGATGGAAAAGACATATCTCCAAGTGCGTCGTACTCCTGTTCCTGAGGAGTTTCTGGACCAGAATGTGGTGTTTTTTCTCAGAAATACAAAAGGTATGCTTCCAGCGGGAGTGTGTGTGAGTGTGGGTGTGCATGCACGTGCATGTGCATATGTCTGAGACTCTTACTTTTTACATGTTCTTGAGAAGATAGCTTTTTATCAGTGCAGTCAATCCCCATTATTCATGGCTTCTATATTTGTAAATTTACTGATTCACTCAAAATTTTTGTAACCCCAAATCAGTACTTTCACTGCTTTCATGGTCTTTGAAATACACGTATGGAGTGGGGAAAATCTGAGTCATTAGCATGCATGGACCCAGCTGAGGTCAGGCAAGGCCATGCTCTGCCTTCTTATTGCATCAAACACTATAGATGAGTGTCTTTATCGTGATCTATTTAGTACCAGGGTTTTTGAGTTTTTGTGGGGCTTTGGTGTGATTTCACTGTTTAAAATGTCCCCAAGGTTGGGTGCTGAAGCACTGACTAGTGCTCAGAGTGCAGGAAGGCTGGGATGTGCCTGATGGAGAAAACTCGTGTGTGATGTAAGCTTCGTTCACACGTGAGCAGTGGTGCTGTTGACCGTGAGTCCAATGTTAGTGAATCAGCAATTATGTTCAATAAGGTGTCTGAACAGAAACACACATAAGGTTGTACAGTAAGTTCCCTGTGTACAAACGAGTTCTATTTCAAGAGCATGTTCGTAAGACCAATTTGTTCGTAAGTCCAACAAAGTTAGCCTAGGTACCCAACTGACACAATCAGCTATGTAGCACTGGGCTGAAATAGATTTATAATACTTTTCACACAAATAAGACATAAAAAGACAAACAAAAAATTTAAAAAATTTAATCTTATAGTATAGGACCTTGACAAGTATAGTACTAGAGCTGGCATACAGGGGCTGGCATCGAGTGAAGAGGCAAGAAGAGTTACTGATGGAGGAGGGAGAGGAGTGGGAGACGGCAGAGCTGAAGGATCGTCAGCAATAGGAGATGGAGGGCAAGCTGCCAATTTTACTCACACCTGACATTGATGGGACAGGTTCTTGTTTCTTGCTGGATTCCATTCTATCTATCCTCTTGAAAAAAGGATCCAGTGATGTTTGGGTAGTACTGTATCAGCTATATCACTGATGCTTTTTTTCATGCTTGCTTCTGGACATCCTGGACTTGAAATAAAGATATGGTTTGACTGTCCACTGTACAGTACTCTATAGTAAAGTACACAACACACGTGATGTTGCTTTTCTTTTCTTTTTTTGAACATTGATGGCCCTTTGGATCACGACCTCACCACTAAGTTCTGAGTTTCTGTACTTTGTTCTTCCCAAATGAGAGGGAACATAACAAGAAGGAGGAAAGATGACTGGCAGAGGCTTAGCATTAAACAGTTCTTGTTTGAGGAGGGGTCAATCTCAGCTCAGTGCTTTCCTATTTAACAGTAATCACAAGCCAGGAGCAATAATAATCAGCCTTGGCCAGAGGGTGTGGCATTTACCCCGATTTATTACTATTTACTCTCATCATATATATATATATATATATATATTTTACAGGTATTTTTCACTGATGTTAAACTTTCTTTTTCACACTTGGTTTTTACATAATTTCCCTTTAAAATAAATTTATTTCAGTAAAGAAGCATTTGACAGAAAGAAACCTATCAGGCAAAGAATAGTGTGCACATCTATACAGATGCAGGGAAAGGCATGCAGACTGAAGCTTGTGGTGTGTCCCAGTAAGACTCATAAAAGTGTCCCAGGGCCATTTGAAGTGTTTACAGAGCTGATTGGTGGTGATCAATACAAAAACAACAATGCCCCCCCTCCCCCCTGCCGAATGCTGTGACTTGAAAGGTACCTTGGTGATGAACTGGGAAGGGTTACTGGGAGTGGAGAGACAGACCAAGCAAAGAGTTCATCAAATGTTTCTAGAAAACCCAAAGTGTTTCTCTCCTTGTCAGGCTGTACCCACTCCAACCAGATCAGTTCATCCACGTGGCCCTCAGGTGCCGCTTGTGTGAACCTCTGAACCACAGTGCGACCCTCAGCGTTTGTTTCTCAATGAGAAATGTGTCTGGAACATTCCTTTGTATTATTAGAGGAGGAGCTGGTTCCCACATGCTTGGAAATGTTAGCTGTGTCCACCTCCCTCCTCATCTCACTCCCCAAATCTTTTCCTGTCTAGAGACCATCTCTGAGGCGACTGATATGAAGGAAGCTATGGAAATTATGCCCGAAACACTGGAGTATGGGATTATAAACTCGCATGTGCTTGCTCTCCTGAGGGATGTTATATCTCAGGTAAATATGGATGGAAAAAGGAACCTCAGCACTTTTAACAAATAAGACCATCTGGGAATTCCCTGGTGGTCCAGTGGTTGGGACTTGGCACTTTGACTGCCAAGGGTGCAAGTTCAGTCCCTGGTCAAGGAACTAAGATCCCACAAGCCAAGCAGCTCAGCCAAAAGAAAAGAAAAGAAAAGAAAAAAAGAGTAAGGCCATTTGATTCATTGTTTCCATAAAGAGGTGGTTGGCAACTTTTAGGTTCCAGACACTGTCATGAGGTTTGTTGGTGGAGCTGTGAGCAGGACAGATGACATCCTTGTGTTCTGGCTTATACTGGTGGAAAAACGCCAAACATCAACACAAAAACAGGAAACTCTCAGGTAGTGATGGCTGGCTTGAGAAAACAAAACCCTAGTAATGAGATAGAGAGGGCTTCCTTGGTGACTCAGTGGTAGACTCTGCCTGCCAATGCAGGAGATGTGGGTTTGATCCCTGGGTCAGGAAGATCTCTTGGAGGAGGTCATGGCAGACCTCCATACTCCAGTATTCTTGAGTGGAGAATTCCACAGACAGAGGAGCCTGGTGGGCTACAGCCCATGAAGTTAGAGAGTCAGACACGACTTATAGACTAAACACCAGCAGCAACGTGTGGTGTATGAGTGTGAGTATGTGTGTATTCAGGGGGTGGTGGTTAGGGACACCTTGTTGGAGAGGTGACATCTGACCTTTAGACAACCAGTAAAAAAGCCCATAAGCAGGCTAATTTACTAAAGATAAATTATTAGGAAAATGTAATAGGGTGGGAGTGAGGTGGTCAGGAAAGACCCCCTCTGAGGAAGTGACACTGAACTGAGAGGTGGATGAAGTGAAGGCATCAAACAAGTGAGGATCTCGAGGAAGAGGATCCTGGGCAGAGAAAACAGCAAGTGCAAAGGTCCTGAGGCAGGAGCAGACTCTATTTAGTCTATAAACAGAAGGATGACCAGTGCAGCT